GGAACCGTCTGGCGACCTGTGCTACCGACCTGGGCTTCAACATGTGCTTGCTACGGCTACTGCTCATGCTGTACTCCATGCCCAGGCTGCTATCCTTCGAAGGCATCGTATTCGAGCTGATGACGCCGATGCGTGGCGTGGTAGCAGGATGCTCATTCGCTGACCTGATGATGCGAATTTTTCTTATTCCCATTTTGGATGACCTGGTGAGCCTGCCTGGCATCTCAGTCGGCAACGTGGTCGATGACATCCAGATGCAGGCTACAGGCACTCGGCCCACCGTCGTGCAGCAGCTCAGCAAGGCTTACCGCCAGGCGAGGAGTGCACTCCACGACGCCGAGCTGCTGCTGAACGAGAAGAAGGGCAAGCTCATCGGCAATGACTACCAGGCCAGCGTGGACCTCGGCAAGCGCTGCCCGTCGCTCGTGCAGGCCAGCGACCTGTCGACCCGCAACCTGGGCTGCGACTACAGCTGCGGCAAGCGGCAGGGCATGCGCACGCGGCTGGGGCGCCTGGGCAAGGTCAGAAGGCGCTGTGAAAAAAATCCGAGCACTTCGCAGGGCCAGGGGAAAGTGCAAACAGCTGGTCAGCATGGGGCTGGTCCCTGCTGGGACCTGGGGTGACGGAGTCACGGGAAGGTCGTGGAGCGGAGTGATGGCCCTCAGGAGGGCTGCGAGGGCGGCCCTGTTCCCTCACACGGCCCGCAGATCCCTCACCATAGACCTGGCTCTGGTTCCTGGAGACACCGCGTCCATCGACCCCGCGTACCCTTGCACGGTGAACCCCATTGTCATGCTCGCCCAAGCCTTCTGGGACGCATGGATGCCTCGGGAGATTTTGTGCCGTATACTATTCAACGCGGACAAGGCCCTCAGAGGGGCCAAGACACCCTGGAGCCAGGTCACGGGTCCTGTTTCGGCTGCGCTGGCTTCTTGTTTCAGGATCGGTTGGACTCTTGGAACGGGTGTGGGCAAGTTGTGCACTGCCGACGGTGAAGTGCTTGATCTATGTCGTGAGTGCCCCCGCACAGTGAGGATGGTTGCGCAGTGGGGTGTCGAGGCTTGGCTCCTTGACAAGGCCCGCTGTGAAGAAAGCTACCTCAGTACCCTCTCCCACGGACCCTACCTCGCCCCTTTGAAGGCCCTGGTGTCTAGCCGTACTGATGACGACTGGACTGGCATGCACAAGGCTACGCTCCGATGTCTTGCGGCCAACGGGTTCTGGGGGGATGAGCGGCGGCACAGTGTCGGCCTGAGGGATAGCCCAAGTTGCTCGCTCTGTGGCGAGGCTCCTGGGACCGTGGGGCACTGGTGTTGGGGGGACTGTGCGTGCACTTGGGCTTTCCGTCGCGACTACCTAGTGCCACCTTCATTGCGAGAGGGTGCATTAAATCACCCCGACTGGCCCCTCTGGAGCCACGGCCTCGTGGCTGACCCTCGGCCCTGGCTTCCTCGTCCCACGATGGACCTGCTCGTTCACTGGCGCGTGCGACCCCCGTCGGGGGCCTTTGAAGGCCCATGTTTTGGAGACGGCTCGTGCCGCTCGCTTGTGGCCTCTGACCCCAGACTTCGCCGTGCTGGCTGGGGAGTTGTCCAGGTGAATTCGAGCGGTCTGGACGTCTTGGCCTCGCTGTGCGGCCCCCTCCCAGGTTTAAACCAGAGCCCTGAGGTTGCCGAACTCTTTGCTCTCAAGATGTATCTTGATAATGTAATGTTTGGCCCCTATGAGTTCCTCTCTGACTGTGATTGGGTGGTCTCCAGCTTCCGTAAGGGACGTTGTGAGACCACTGGTGCGTTGCACGCCTGTGCCGACTTATGGGAGGGGGTTTGGGACCGCGTGTCGGACTTGGGGGGGGAGGTCGTCGTGATTAAGGTCAAGGGTCACGCGCGTGTGCGCGATGATGACCTTGATGATGGTGCTCGATGGAGGCGCCTAGGCAATAAGGCTGCTGATGAGACGGCGCGCGCTGGAACCGCCATGCACCCCTCCGATCAGGAGGCCGAGGATCGAGTGATCCGTTCCTATCGGCTGGTCCAGTATGTTGGTAAGTACTTGGCCAGGACCATCCGTGGGGCAGGGCCAAGTCTGGCCTCCGCCTCCCGTCGCGAGGTGGGGCTTCGGAGGGGGCGCCGAATCGTCCCTCGGCTCTCGGATGATGCTGCGCCTCCCGAGGGCACTCATGACCCTGTCTGGTTTCCCAAGGGTGGCTTCAGGTGCATCAGGTGCCTGAGATCGGGGAGCACGATCCAGATTTTGAAGGCCACCCCCTGCAGACCTGGAGCTGGCCACCGCGTTTGGACGGTGGGCCCTTTTGTGTTCTGCAGTGTATGCGGTGCTTATAGTGAGCACAACACCCAGAAGCTCGGTCAAGATTGCCACGGAAGCTGCCCGCGTGGGTCTGTGGCGTGGGACCGCCTGCGTAAGCTGTGGCGTGGTCGCCACCCCCGCAGCGGGATCGAGCTTCGGGCCTCGGGAGTCGGACCCCGCCCCACCCCCTTTGGCGCATTCGCCCTCGACCACAAATTTAAGGGCCTGGTGGTCCTTCCTGGTTCCGAGGAGGAGGATGATGCTTGAGGCTGGTTGGTCCTGGGTCCGCTCCCGTTTTTGAACTTTTGTGGTTTTCCTGACGGAGGCACTCGCCCCCCCCTTCTTGCTCCTCCTCACCCCGCCTGGGAGGTGCCCGTCAGCCCAATGTTCGCGCCCTAAGCGCGAGGCCGCTGGCTGCTAGTCTCGACTGCACCCCTTGGCCCCACCAGCACAAAAACTCCTCCTCTTCCTCGTCCTCCTCCTCCTCCTCCACCTCCTCCTCCTCATCCTCCTCCTCCTCCTCCTCCACCTCCCTCATGTCGATCCGATCGATCCGATTTGATGTCGTGTTCGACCAGTTCGATCCGACTCGATTGCAGTCGGGCGTGCCCCTCTTCAGGAGGAGGAATATTCAAAAATAATCAGAAAACGTAGCCTGGGAACGATGTTTCGATTATTTGTTGAATATGTTCGACAATGTTTGTGTATCAGAGTGAGGGGGCCGAACGGTCATTCACTGTCCCTGGGTGCGTGGCTGAAGTGGGATTTCGCGGTGCGGATTCTCGCTGTTGTTGTTTGTTGTTGTTGGTTGTTTGTTGTTGTTTGTTGTTGTTTGTTGTTGTTTGTTGTCGTCGTCCCACTCGCAACCCGCCCCGCGACCCACCCGCGACCCACCCCGCGACCCACCCCGCGATCCACCCGCGACCCACCCGCGACCCACCCGCGACCCACCCCGCGACCCACCCCGCGACCCACCCCGCGACCCACCCGCGACCCACCCGCGACCCACCCGCGACCCACCCGCGACCCACCCCGCGACCCACCCCACGACCCACCCCGCGACCCACCGCACCCACCCGCGACCCACCCCGCGACCCGCCCGCGCCCACCCCGCGACCCACCCGCGACCCACCCGCGACCACCCGCGACCCACCCGCGACCACCCGCGAACCCGCGACCCACCCGCGACCCAAACCCAAACGTTCAGGGTACAAACCACATTTTCGGCGCCTGCGGCGGGCATCTTTTGCATTCGTTTCAGGTGGAAGCCCGCGGCCCACCCGCGACCACGATCAGGGTACATACCAAACTCGGCGCCTGCGGCGGGCATCTTTTGCATTCGTTCCCGGTGGAGAACCCGCGGCCCACCCGCGACCCAAACCACGTTCAGTGTACAAACCAATTTTTTCGGCGCCTGCGGCGGGCTGCTTTTGCATTCCTTCCAGGTGGAGGTGGAGACCCCGCGACCCACCCGCGACCCAAACCACGTTCACTGAACAAACCAATGCCGCACAAGCGCGGCGGCGGATTTTTGCATGCCGTCTGCGCCCGCAACGACCTCTTCAAGCCCCGCGCATCCACACCAGCCCGTCCAGCAACTTTGCCCTGGCGAGTTGCCTTGATCAGAGAAGTCGGGGAGCATAAAGTGGAAAAAAGGATTGCGTTGCCGTTATCTTGGGAAAGGAGGGGGAGGCAGGAGGAGTAAACAGGGGACGAGGAGGACGCGAAAGAAGAGAGGATGTAAGGAGAATGTGGAGAAGAGGAGGAGGAGGAGGAGGAGGAGGAGAAGGAGGAGGAGGGAGGAGGAGGGGGAGGAGGGGGAGGAGGACGAGGAGGAGGGGGAGGATGATGATAATGGACGACAATGGGAGGACGATGATGGAGGCCGTTGAGGGGGTGGACGACAATGGGAGGACGATGATGGAAGGACGAGGGGGGGGGGGAGAGGGAGGACGAGGAAGAAGAGGAGGACGAGGTGGAGGAGGAGGATGACGATGACGACGAAGACGAGGACGAGGACGAGGAAGAGGAGGAGGAGGAGGAGGAGGAGGACGAGGAGGAGGAGGAGGAGGAATGCGCCATCGACAGGGAAGGTGGGGGCCACGAGGTCCGCCGGCTCGACGACGTCCGCGTCGCCCGCGCCCGCCCCCTCACTCTTGTCCGCAATTGCGGGGTGCTAGGTATTTTCATTTTTCGTCCAGAGTCCCCCTGTAAGGACACGCGCAACCTAAGATTCGGTGTCTTCGGCCAGTTCGATCCGATTCAGTGTCGACTTCCCGGCGATCCGCTGCGGCCCGACGCCTGCGCGGCGCTGCCGTGCATTTTGGCGCAGCCGACCTGGCTCGATCTCGGCCCCGTGCTTCCCAGTCGATGCGGCCTCGATGCTGACTGATCCTCGATGCCTCGATGCTTCGATGCCTCGATGCCTTGGCCTCGATGGCTCGATCTCGGCCTCGATGCTGACTGATCCTGCTCTCGCCCCCATCAAGACTCAGGAGGGGGAAAAACACACGGACACAAGGAATCGCCGACTCCCAGGAAGAGACGGGAAAGTGTGGCCAGTGGGGGGAAGACGAACACCCAGAAGAGATGGGAAGATATGGGGAATCCTGTGATCTGTGTCTGCTAATTCGTTTGTCCCTGGGCCCCCTCAAGACGGGTGCGGCGGCCAGCGCCGCCGGGGCGGCGGCGACATGCCCGGCGGCGCGAGAGAGCGCCAGCGGCCGAGGCCGCCGCGGGGCGCGGCCGCGGAGGCCATGGCCCGGGTCCTCGGGGCCCTGGGTGGTTCGGGCCGAACGAAAGGGGGGGATAGGGAAAGGGGGGGTTACGAAATCTGCTGCATGCAGCTGGTTTCGGCCCCACCGAGGGGCCAATTCCTCGATACATGGGCGCCTCCCGGCTCCGGGGGGCGCCAGGAAAATCAGCTACGCGAGCTGATGCTCAACCCCCCCCTTTGCTATCCCCCCCTTTCGCCCGGCCCCGGGTGGTCAGGGTATGGTTACGGCCAGGGTGCGGCTTGCTGTCGGCAGCGCTGGGGCCTGGGGAGCATGACATTGTTCTCGTTGCGCCTCCTCGGGGCGCGGCGGAGGGCTCTATCGAGGTCCCCGCCCCCCCCCCGGGTGCCCCCCGGGGTGCCAGTTGCAAACCGCACCCTTTGCGAACCGCGCCCTTCGGAGTCGCCGACTACAGGAGGAAGGTCCAAAAATAGTCCAAAGATCGTCGGGGTACATTTTTTCTACATTTCTGAGCATTTGGGAGCCTTTTGTTGACTATTCTTTAGTTTTCCTCCCAAATCCGCCCGTAGGGGGACATGCCCGACCTAAGGTCAGGAACGCTCTCAGAGCGTTCTGGAGAAGGCCGCGGCGCCCGAGACATCCTCCAGAGCCGCTGGTTCTCAGAGATGCTCGATGCATCCTCACCCGATTTGGTCCTCGCACTGACTTCGTCTTGAGCTCCTGGCTACTGCGTCGGAAGCCAAGACCGGACGCCCTGGACCGGAGTGGTCCCGCAGAGCTCGTGCGTCCAGGGAGGCGGTGATAGCGTTAAATCGGGCCTGAGGAATTTTCAAACATAGTCAAAAAATAATCTGGGGACGATTCCTTGAGAATTTGTTTGCCATTTTGGAGCATTTTGTGGGTATTTTGAATTTTTCATCCAAAATCCCCCCTGTACGGGGACATGCCCGACCTAATGATAGCGAGGCGATGCGATCCCAGGCCCCCTCGCGGCGTGAAGAAGGCGGGGCGCGGGGGGGCTATGGGCAACTCTCGGCCTCCAGGGGTCCCTTTTGGGCCCATGGGTCCGTCAGCGGGATGGAAAGTCGCAGGCGATGTTTCCCCCGTTCAGAAAAGTTTGGCCGTTCAGAAAATCGGTAGTCCCCAAACGTGGTGGTGACAACACCTGGTGGTGAGTCTCGGGCGATTTGGTGTCACCACCCGGTTTGGGGACTCGTGCAGTTTTCCGAGGATGTCCCGGACACTGGTGGGTCCAGGAGTCACAAGACCCGGTGGTGACCCCGCGTCCCCAAACCCAGCGGTGACCTTTTTGGGGATTCCAGGTCGCCACCTGGTATCTCACCACCCGGTTTGGGGGTTCCCAAGAAAAGAAGGGGGGGGGGGGGGGGGGAAGCTTTCGGGTATACCCCGAGGGGGCTATTCGGACGCACCCCTCTCGAGGATGGACGCCCCCACGCAGTACATCCCAGGGTTGGGCCCAAAGTTTTTTGGTCCAGTGGAGAGTCACTCAAAGACGGGGATTGGGGTCGCCAGATCCCCCCTTAGAAAGCCAGTCCTAGCGAAGGGGTCTATACCCTTCTGGGTCGCGGAGGCGGTCGCCGTGAATCGGTGCGATCGACACCCAGACCTCTGGCGGGTGGATTGCTCATCGATCGTGGCGCTTCTCTTTTCAAAGAACACAGACGGTGTAAGCATAAACTGTTGGAGCTTCGCGCGTATTTCCTGGATCGGCGCTGACTCCTTCCCTGGCGCGCGGAACGCACCAGGGGCGGCGCCGGAGGCGCCGCCAGGGGGCTCCAGCGCCGATCCAAGAGATCCGCACAGAGCTCCAAGAGTTTATGGTCATGCCGTTGTTTACTCCTCTATCCTTGGCGTCGATCTCGGGGGGCCAATGCCATCAGGCACTGCTCCAAAGCGGAAGCTTGCCCCCAGGAAAGGGGGCGAGGGACCTCTGGGGCCACAGATCGAAATAACTCATCGCCAGGTGTCTGGGACGGGGACAAAACAAAAACAGCAGCAGCTCCTGCCGATGATGAGCGGAGCTCGGTGTGGGCGCTGCCCATGAGGGACAGGCATGCGGCATCCCTTGCCAAACAGCGGCCAGTCAGCGCGGGCCCCAAACAGTATGTTTCTGGCACTATCTGCGGTGCATTCTCTGTGGAGCAATATATATATATATATATATATATATATATATATATGTGTGTGTGATGCGACCTACTAGGTGCAAAATCTAACCTGCAAACTGCGTTGTGGAAAACATGTACTGCAATATGTGGTGCAAACTATGTGGCGCATTTGGTAGCAAACATCCCACCCACCCACCCGCAACTTGGCTTGCAAAACCCATGCGGTGGCGATTGCGATGAGTGCTTGGCGTTAGCTGCTCCATCTCCGCGGCCGCGCCAACCCAAGCGCGCGCGCAGCGGCCAGCTAGTTTGGCGCGGCCGACGCGGACGCGGTGGCGCTGACCGCTGGGCACATCCCAGCGGGCACCTCAGTGCGAGTCGGCGACTTGGGCGGGCGCGGTATCATGGCAACGTCGACAACGGTAGATACGATGATGATAGTAGCGATGCTGGCGACGAGGTTGACAACGACGACGGCGCGGCCAGTGCAGGCGCCGATGCTGACCACGCCGTCGACGATGACGGCGTCTTCGCGTCGGTGATGAAGCATTTGGACACAGTTCGACCTGCGAGCGCGGCCGACGCGCGAGAGTGGCCCGCATGGTTTTATTTGACACGGGTCGTGGGCCCCCCCCCCCCCCCCTCGACACGGGTCGTGCCCCCCCCCCCCCCCCAGCTCGCGCGCAAGGGCGCGCGAATGATGTCGGCGTGCGGCGTCAGAGACCCGTTTGGCAGAATTCCATGAACATATTAAGAAACAGCCATTATTTTCTCAAGAATGCGACGGCACGCGCGCAAGGGCGTTCGAACGATTCCGACCTGCGCGCGCGAAGCCCGTTTGGTAGCACTTTCTGACAAAATTGAAGACACGCAAAAGGTTTTCTTAACAAATCGCATGAGCGCGCACATTTGTTTGCAAATTCGTGTTGCGAAAACATGTGTCTTCATATGTGGTTTGGACACTCGGTTTTGAGATCCTTGCGAAGCCGAAGGTTTCTGAAGGATTCTGGCATGCGCATGCGACGACGCGCGCGTACGCACTTCGTCTCATCTGTGATAAGGGGTTTTTGAAAACTAAGGCGCGCATAGGTTTTTTTTTGCAAGGGGATGGGGAGGGCCGATACCGGTTGTGCTGGGATGGCACAAATTCAAATTAAGGTTGGACGATGGGGCAGAATCGTATGCAAAATGCTATACGACAAGGGGGATCCATAATCTTTGGGGGGGGGGGTCGAGTATATTCTCTTAGTTGAAAGGAGAATTGATTTTAGCAAACTAGCTGACACTTTGCAAACACCCTACCCACCTACCCGCAACTTGGTTTGCAAAACCCATGCGGCGGCGATTGCGATTCATGCTTGGCGATGGCTGGTGCATCTTTGCGGCCGCGCCAACCCCAGCACGCGCGCGCTGCGGCCAGCTAGCTTGGCGCGGCCGACGCGGACGCGGTGGCGCTGACCGCTGGGCACATCCCAGCGGGCACTTCAGTGCGAGTCGGCGACTTGGGCGGGCGCGGTATCATGGCAACGTCGACAACGGTAGACACGATGATGATAGTAGCGACGCGGGTGACGATGCTGACTGCGACGACGGGGCAGCCAGTGACGGCGCCGATGCCGATCACGCCGACGACGATGACGGCGTCTTCGCGTCGGTGATGAAGGTTTTGGAAGGAGTTCGACATGCGCGCGCGGCAGACGCGCCAGAGTGGCTCGCATAGTCTTATATGACACGGATCGTGCCACCCCAGCACGTGCGCAAGGGCGTTCGAACGATGCCGGCATGTGCGCGCGAGGCCCGTTCGGTAGAATTATTCAACATGTTGAAGAATTTTTGGTTCTCTTCAGAATTCGCAAGATAGCGCGCGCAGGCTTTGAAAATTGATGTTGCGAAACCATGTGTTTTTTTTTGAATGCGTTTTGGACACGGGGTTTTGCAATAGTTACGAAACCGTATGTGTTTAACCGATTTCGGCACGCGCGCACGCAAAGGCGTTCGAACGATTTCGACATGCGCGCGCGAAGCCCGTGTGGTAGCATATTCTGAACATGTCGAAAAACCGGCTGTCATATATACAAATGTGTCTGTATATATGTATGTATGTATGTATGTATGTATGTATGTATGTATGTGTTCAAGAGCGCGCGCGCATTTTGGGTTGGAAACCGTGTTGGGAAACCATGTGTTGTTATATGTTTTTGACACTCGAATTTGACGTCCATACGAAATCGTCGGTTTTGGAAGGGCGTTCGTTTGCGCGCGCGACGACGCGCGCGTGTGCACTTCGCTTTTTTATCTTAAAATTTGTTCTTTAAAAAGGTTCTTGAAAGAGTATGATTCGTTATACACGAGTGCGCGCGCATAGTTTTTCTCCAGACGATGACGGGGGGGTCGAGACCGGCCTGGCTGGAATGCTACGATTTCATTTTTAAGATGGACGATGGGGCAGAACCATATGCAAATTGCAGTGCGAAAAAAACAGATCGATAATCCAGGGGGGTATACCTCATTCCCCAATCAGAACTTGCCTCTGTAGGCGTTGTCATATGGTTAGGCGAGGTGGGGCGCCGATTTCGGCGGCACGCCTGGGTGCCCGGGTGCCCGGGTGCCCGGTTGAGGTTTGCTCTGATTTCCGCAGTGCCCAGGTGCCAAGGTGCCAAGGTGTTTTCTAGCCCGATTGCCCAATTGCCTTATAGCCCCATAGCCGCATAGCCCCATAGGCCCTATAGCCCAATATCCCTATAGCCCTGTAGCCTTATAGCCCTATAGCCCTATAGTTCGATTCGCTTTATAGCCTCGTAGCCCTATAGCCCTATAGCCCAAAAAAGATTCATATTGGGGTTTTCTCCGGTACCATTGCCTTTTTAGAAAAGATGTCAAATGTTTTTTATAGAAAAAACAACAAACAAAAAAACAAACAAACAAAAAAACAAACAAAAAAAAACTTGAAGTTGGCAGTTCCACGACCCGCGCAGTCATCCCACCCACCCACCCGCAACTTGGTTTGCAAAACCCATGCGGCGGTGATTGCGATGAGTGATTGGTGTTGGCTGGTGCGTCGTTGCAGCCGCGCTAGCCCACGCACGCTCGCGCGTACAGCGGCCAGTTAGTTTGTCGCGACCGCCGCGGCCGCGGTGGCGCTGACCGGTGGGCACTGCCCATCGCGTCTCGCATGCCGCGCTGACGCGTGGGCAATTCAGTGCGATTCGGTGTTTTGGGCGGGTGCGGTGTCATTGCGACGTCGACAACGGTAGACACGATGAGGGTGCTGGCGATGATGGCAACGATGAAGACAATGACGACGGCAGGGGCAATGACGGTGCCGATGCTGATCACGCTGATGACGATGATCGTGTCCACGCGTCGGTGATGAAGCTTGTGGAAGGGTTTCGACATGCGCGCGCGGCCGACGCGCGCGAGTGGCCCGTATTGTTTTTCGGGGGGAATCGCCCCCCCCCCCCCCCCCCCCCCAGCGCGCGCGCAAAGGCGTTCGAATCATGACGACATGCGCGCGCGAGAGGCGTGTTGGGCCGCATTTCATGGAACTTCTGAATCAAACTGAGTTGTTTTAAGAATTTGTTTGAAATGTCGCTTGCCACATAATGTGTGTTTTGAATTGTTTTCGCGACACTCGATTTTGAAATCTCTACGAAATTCGAGGTTTGTGAAGGATTCCGGAATACGCGCGCGACGACGCGCGCATGAACATGTTGTTTTGTGTGTTGTTCGGGATTTTGAAAATGGGTGATTTGTAGCAAACGAATGCGAAGGCATATGCACTTTTACAATGGATGCTGCTGGGATGGTACGAATTCGCGTGCAGAACAAAAGAGGGCAAAATCATATGAAAATTGCGCATCTTCAGACCGGCCAATAGTTCCAGGGGGGTAGATCCGAGCCCATCAATGTGGCGCGATGCAATCTATGTGGTGCCTTCTGCGTGGGCCAATCAATTTGAATTTATTTATGTGGTGCATTCTGTGTGGGCAGCGACGGCGGCGACGGCGGCAACATAGCCGCCAGACCAGCCGATAGGCCAAAACGACGAGGGTGGCGACTGGGCGGCGACGGCGGCAACATGGCTGCCAGATCGACAGAGAGGCCCAGGCGACGGGCGGCCACGGGGCGACGACGGCGGCGACATAGCCGCCAGACCGAAGGACAGGCCCAGACGACGGGCGGCGACGAGGCGGCGACGGGGCGACGACGGCGGCAACATAGCCGCCAGACCGACAGGCGGGCCCAGTTCCTTGGAATCAAAGTAAGAACCCCTGAGTGCAAGCACTGTGTTTTTTTTTTGCTCCCCCCCAAAAAAGAACGCCCCCACAGGTTTGAAACGCCCCCCTCTTCAGGACCCGGGGCCGGCAGCCAAAGACTGTTCTCGGCACGGAAGCCTGAATCCCAGAGGCAGCCCCGGGAAGGGCAGCCCTCCAAACACAAAGAACAGCATAAGCGCAAGCAAGCGCTCGGGGAGCTCGCGTTTATCTGCTGGGCCGGCGCCGGACCACCCAGAGCGGAGGCGCTGCCCCCCGGCATGCCCCGCGCGTCAGGAAAAAAGAGGGTGCCGACCCAGGAGATCCGCGCGGACCTCCGAAAGATTGTGTTCCTGTCGCGCCTGTGTCTTCTCCAGGCTGCGAGGGGGGCCCAGTTGCTGATCGACCTCAAGTACGCCAACCAGCTGCCCAAGCCTCCAGTGCCGAAGCTGCTGAGGGCGCTGCCCAGCGCCGAGAGGCTCTTCCAGTACCGGCCCACCTCGCTCGAGCTCGACCACCGCCCGTTCCTCCTGGCCGAGGAGGATGATGGGCCTGCTTTCCACTACCACCAACATAAGTTTGATGGAGGGAACAAGGAGGAGGAGAAGGAGGAGGAGGAGGAGGACCCCCTCCCCCTCCAACTTGTGGTGGTGGTGGTGGAGGACAGGCCCATCAGAGGAGCTGCTGAACCGCCTGGAGCTCGTCGACCCCGAGGCCTACGGGGAGCCCTCCGTGCGAGGCTCCATGCCGCCGCCTCCCGCGCCCGTGGACGCGCAGCTGCTGCGCGACGACGACGTGGGGCAGGAGGTCCGGGAGGCGGAGCTGAAGCGCCGGCGGCTGACGGAGCGCACGGAGGCTCAGAGGAGGAAAAGGTATACCCATACCTCTACCCTTCCCCCGTGTTCCCCTTGTTCGCTGTCCTGGGAGGCCCTCGCCGCCACCATTGGCTTCGCCTCGAAAGTCTGGCCAGAGCGCACCCCCTGGAGAGGTCCGGGGAGCAGCGGTGTCGGTTCCTGTTGGTCTGCCCAGAGGCGTCGCACCGGCAGGCGTTCGGCCTGCAGCTGCCGCTGCTCATCACCAACGACGTGTTCACGGAGCGGCAGCGCCACACCACGGGCACCGAGGCGGCGGAGAAGAAGCTGGAGCGGCACCCGCCTGGCTTCGCCTCGGTGCAGGAGCTGGCGGACAAGATAGAGCAGTCCTTCGTGGCCGCGCAGGAGGCACCCGTCCACCCCACCAAGCCTGGGATGCGAGCCAAGCGCGTCCTCCCCATCGTTCCAGACGCGGTGTTGTGGACAAACCGTTATCGGCAGGTGGTATTCGACGAGGTGCCCGTGGACCCGTCGAGGAACGATCTGCTGTTCAAGACGACGCCCAACCCACGGTCGACGTGCTTCGGCTTCTTCTCCCCAGTAGACGGCACAGAGCTCGGCTCTTACAGCCTCATGCAAAATTACGTGTGGAGCAACCGTGGCGAGTTCACCCGCCGTAACGCGTGTGGAGAGGGCCAGGCGATCTTACTCTCATTTCCCAGAGAAGCCACCTCCGAGGACAGCAAGGAAAGTGCGGCCGGCGAGGTCAGATTCGTGCAGGTGCCGACTCTGATGAGGCTAACGAAGCAGAAGGCCATGCGCCTCGACCTCAGCCTCGACCTGCAAGCGCTCAGCGTGAAGCACCGCGACCAGACTCCCGCTGAGATCGAGGCGGAGGCCCCGGTGGCCCGCCAGGTGCTGGTGGACGAGGCGGAGGAGGTGGACAAGTCCGAGGCGAGCCTCGACTACATCGACGGCCAGTGGGTCATCCACCAGGACCCGCGGTCGCAGGGCAAGTCCTCGCTGTCGAGGCCCACGGGGGCAGAGAGCAGCGCGCTGGAGAGCCAACTCCTCCGGAGCGAGGCCGGTGACTCGGCCGGGTAGCCGCACCCCGCTTGGGCCCGCGGCGGGCTTCGGCGCGCGCGCGCGCTGCGATGCCACCCGGGCTGCGGCTGAGGGTGCCGAGCGCCCAGGCGCCACGGCTCCGGACCAGCCGCCCGGGACGATGGGGCGCGCGTTCGGTGGCAAGGTGGGGTCAAAGAGCGGCGCGGAGACACGCAGGTCGGTGCGGTCGGAATGGGCATGGGCAGGGCAGGGGCGACGGCCGACAGCATGTCCTGTTCGTTCTGCATCGGGATCGTTGTCGGTGTTGCCGCGGACGCTGTGCCTTGAGGCGAGATGTCGCATGCCCGACAGCGGCCGCTGTCGGTGTTGGACACACACGCTGTTGGGCGTCATACACACGTTCTCCGTACACGTCTCGGCCGTGCCAAGGCAGGGCAGGGGAGGGAGGGGGGGCGTGCGCCCACCTTGGCGGGGCTGGAGCAAGCGCGCAGTCGGCTTCTGGAGCTCGGGGAAGCGGGCCGTGCTGGGGGCGTCATTGATGTCGTTTCTGGCCTAGTGGGTTTCTTGGGTCTGGGGCCGTCTTGGGGTCCTCTTGGGGCCTACTGGCCGTCTTGGGCTGGTATTTGGGGCCTGTTGGGCCCTCTTTAAAGTGCTGGGGAGCACCGAAATTGTGAGAATCCGAAAAGCATGTCACAGCTCATCGAGGTCCCGTGCTCCTGGCTTCCCGGACCGACACCGAGGGCCCCCGAAACGGCCCAGGAGACCACACAAGGGCCCCCTGATCCCTCCTTGGGTCGTCTGGAGGCCACCTCGGTGTAGTCTGGGAAGTGTCTCTAGGGAGCAAACAAACCTACCTCGCTTTTGACCACCCTCGCTTCCAAAAGATACCACGCGATGCCGAACTGCGGCCTGCACTGGTCAGGCCGCCTGACGAGGAGGCGCGTGGTATGACTGGGTTTTGCCTGGAAGCGAAAGCGGGGTAGGTCATTCAAGCTCTGAGTCTCGGAGGCCATCCTGGACCACCTTGGAGGCCCTCCGGGCCACCCTGGAAAGCGGCCGCGGGCTGGAAAACTATTTTTTTATCGTTCTCCTCCAGTCAGAAAGCTGTGCAGAAATAGCAGAAAACGGTTTTTTTTAATCGTGCTCCCCCGTTTTTTATTTCAATCGTCATCCCGCATTGGTCTGGGCAGTGTCCCAGAGAGGCCCTCCTGGCCCGCCCTGGAGGCCCTCCGGGCCACCCGGGGAGAGGCGCGTGCTGGGCTTTTTCGCGGGCCCGTGGCTCGGCCTGTCGTGGCTCCTCCTCCTCCTCCTCCCCCTCCTCCTCCTCCTCCTCCTCCTCCTCCTCCTCCTCCTCCTCCTCCTCCTCCCCCTCCTCCTCCTCCTCCTTCTCCTCCTCCTCCTCCTCCTCCTCCATTCACGCTCGGGGTCTCGGGGGCCCTCCTGGACCGCCCTGGAGGCCCTCCGGGCCACCCGGGAGAGAGGCGCGCGCTGGGCTTGTTCGCGGGCCCGCGGCTCGGCCAGGTCGGGGCGGCGCCGGCAGGTCGAGCCGAAGACCACCGGGGAGCCTGGCGGGAGGGCCGACAGGCAGGTTTTAAGTCAGGAGGGGAAACACACACACAGACACACAGACACAACGAATCCTCGATTCCTCAGAAAAGATGGGAGAATATGGGAAGTGGGGGGAAGACAGAAACCCAGAGCATGTGGGAAAATATCGGGAATATGTCTAATTGTGTGTACTTGTTTGTGTCGAGCACGCCTTGTGTAGTATTGTTTGTATGAGTTTGTGTATTTATTTAGTCTGGGGCTCCTTCATCAAGATCCAGCACGCCGCGCACCTCTCCAGAAGGCTGCGGGGGCGGCGGAGCGAAGAAGCCCACGGCGAGGCGCAGCCGTCGATGGCGGTCCCTGGCAGCGCTGGTGCGGCCAAGCGTTGGCACAAAGTGTTGTCAATACCTTGGGCTGTGTGGTCCCCCGGCCGTTGTGGAAGCCCTGGGGGGGGGGGAACTTGGGGGAGGAAGAAGGGAAGGAGCAGGAGAGGGAGGAGGAGCAGCAGCAGGAGTAGGATGACCGAAGTGAACCAACTGCCCTCGTCAAAATTAACCTCAAAAATGGCGAAGACGCCCCTGCGATGTCGGCGCGCACGTCAACGTCGATAGACGCCCCTCCAATGTCGGGGCCAGGGCAAAGGTGGTCTGACAGGGACGACTCGGAAGTTCGATGATGATCGACACTGGAGGGGCGGCGCATTCAGGTACCTCGCAGCCATCGCTACCCTGTCCAGTATCTCCCCGCTTGCAGTCCAGCCACATAAGGCACTCTTGAGGTTCATTTTGGCGAGGGTTGCAGGATGCCCCTCACCACCCCTGCCGCGCCTCCCGCGGTGGCTGGTCACGGTCGCTCCTAAGCAGAAGCACCTCCACAAGCATCAGCCGATTTTGAGAGAGAATGGGCTAATCAGTTTAGCTGTTTGTTTCTTTGAACGATGCGGTGTGGCAGCAAAAAAAAGGGTTGCAGGATGCACCAAGGGTGCTGCAGCACGCCCTGCCGTCCCACGAGTGTTCCTGTGCACTGCGGCCTTGCATGACGAGCGCCGGGTGGGCCTGCCACTCGGGCGGCACCCCGGTTTCAAAATAGGATTCGCCCCCATCCTTCTAGTTTTGAATCGGGCGTGTCTCTCTACAGGAGGAATATTCAAAAATAGTTTGAAAAAATAATCAGGGGACGATGTGTTGACTAAGGTTGCCCATGTGGGGGGCATTTTTGGATTATGTTCAATGTTTCGCCCAAAAATCCCCCTGTAGGGGGACACGCCCGATTTAATTCTAGTTCAAAGAAACTCCAGGAGGCAGAATGAGAAGGTTCAACGAACTGTCCAGCGATCGTGCCGTTTGAAAGGAAGGACCCACCCCCCATTTGCTTGGTCAAGAAAATGCCTTCAGCGAGAGCCCATGTTGAAAAGGGGTCCCCCTCCACCCGTGTTACGATTGCAAGATTTGGAACCTAGGGAAGTAGAATCTGAGGAGGACTCAAGCGAGAGCCGCATGTTGAGAACGTGCAGGCCTCCATCCTTGAAATTGCTGGGAATTCTTGAAACGAGTGTGCGCGTCGCAAAGCCAGGCGCCATAGTTTGAGGACCATCGGTGCTCCGTCCGTGCAGCTGTTAGAAGCATGTACAACGAATACGAGAGGGGCTACGCAGAGAGCGCATTATGGAACCACTGGCCTTCCATTCTTGCAGCTGCTGGAAAGTCTTAAAGCGAATGTGTGCGGCGCCAAGGCGAGATCCTCGCAAATGTGGAATGTGTTGTACGCTTCGCGTACCCCCGCAAGCCTACCCAGAAATTACCGCGGAGAGTTACCGTGAGCACAAACTTTCGGAGAGCCAGCTTTGAACATTTCCCGCCCTCCGTCTCTGCTGCTGCTGGAAGCCCCGGGCATTGGGACGATGAGTTGCGGGGAACCTTGCTGGCACCTCTAGTGGCGCGACACGGAGGTGCATGTCGGGAAGGGGGTGGAGAGGGAGAGGGACGAAAAGGAGCGCCAGGGGAGGAGGAGGAAGAGGATCAGGAGGAGGAGGAGGAGGAGGAGGAGGAGGAGGCGGAGTGGTACCCTAGTAACTTGTGTCGCTCAGCGGTTGCGGCTCCAGTCGCTACACACCACCTGCGCCGACCAGTGCAGGCAGGAGCACCGCGTGCCGCGGTGCTTCTGCCACTCTCTTCGTTGTTCCCCGATCCTCGCTGTCGCGCCCAGAGCTCGGCCCTCGACGTCCGCCCGTGACCGACCGACCGATCCGGCCAACTGGCCTTCTCCTCCTCCTCTTCCTCCTCTTCCTCCTCTCCTCCTCCTCCTCCTCCTCCTCCTCCTCCTCCTCCTCCTCCTCCCACTCCTGCTCCTCCTCCTCCTCCTCCCTCTCCTCCTCCTCCTCCTCCTCCTCCTCCTCCTCCTCCCTCTCCTCCTCCTCCTCCTCCTCCTCCTCATCCTCAGCCTCATCCCCATCCTAACTCATAGCCTCCTCCCCCTCCGAGGGGGGAGGGCAGGACGAGGAGGTGTCTTCCAGCCACTCTGGCTCAAGGGGGGCCCGCGCCGAGCTGTAGTGGCCCCGCCAGAGAGGGAGGACGGCGGCGGCGATGGCGGAGGGTGCCAGCGCGAAACGATGCACGCAGTGGCGGCGGGGGCCTCGTGCTGGACCAGGGGCTTCGAGTACGAGTTCTGCTGCGTGCCGCCGGCGGGCTTCGCGTCATGCTTCGACGGCGTGGCGTTCACGTACGAGGGCTGCTGCTCCGTCCCCGGCGTGCGCCCCGCCAACACGACCCCGCGGCTACCGGCGCTACCCTCGCGGCCACGCCCGGCGCCGGAGGCGCTGAAGGTAGACCTGGTCGTCCGGGCCTGCGGCAAGCACAGAGACCAGCTGGAGGAGCTGTTCCGCTCCCTGGAGGTCTTCTGGCCCTTTCGGCGCTGGCAGTCGCGGGTGCATGTAGTGCTCGACGCGGAGAGCGAGCTGGATCGCAGCTTGTGCGCGCGCGAGGGCAGGAACCCTTGGCCGCAGTGGGTGCACTGCGTCAACGAGGTGCTGCCTGCCGCGTTGGCCGACGCGACGGGCGCTGTCCGCGCGCAGTTCGGGCTCTTCCTGGCCGACGTGTACGCGCCTGGCGCCGACTTCGTTGCAGTGGTGGACTCGGACTGCGTCTTTCACACCTTCGGGATCCCGGAGCTGTCGATCGTCTGGGAGACTGGGCATTGCGTCAAATACGGGGGGCGGTACATGGCGGGGCGAAGAGAGGTGCACCTCTCTCGTGCACCTCAGGGGCCCCGGAAGTAGCCCTCTGGGTTCCAAAAGGGGCACGAGAGGTGCACGTTTCTTCACCCCCCAATTGCGGCGGCGAGCGAGGGGGGGAAGTGAGAAGGACGAGGCCCTCTTCCCCCCCAGGCTCGCCGCCGACACGTTCCGCCCGCCCCCCATACAGTCGGGGCGCTGAACAAGGAACCCTTCTCGTTGGGGAGGGGCTCCGTGCTCCTTAATGGTTTCGCTGCTTGCCTTAGGTAGGTCTTCGCTGGGGAATCGAAGTTTAACTCGTGGAAAAAGGGGGCCTCGTTCCTGATTTAGGGTTCCGTAGGTCAGCGCCCCGACTGAGGTGCGCAACGCCCCAGAGGACAGGGCTGGCCGGCCGAGGCCGGTGGTGTTCGGGGCCTGGCACGTGCAGTACTTCGACCAGCCGCGCGCCCTGGGGCTCCCGTGGACGGCGGAGTTCATGCACACGCCCTTCATGCTGGTCAGGTGGCGAGCGCACAAAGAATCGGGGGCGGCAAAGCGGGGGGTGATGACTGGGGGGGTGGATCTCATGGCGGGGGCCGTGATATTGCCTCAGATTTCATGACGCCTCTTCTTGCCTCCTTGCGTCCCTGGCCCCCCCGCTGGGCCGCACAGCTGCCGCCGGTCATGAGTTGCACCCCCCCTCTTGGACCCCCCCCCTCTCGGCCGCTCCCGATCAGGTGGCGAACGCACAAAAAAAACACCCTCAACCTTGGGGGGAATCGGAGAGAGGAGGGCATGGCTGTGGGCATGAGTGCGGGTCGTCCGTCCGCGGGGGGGACTCCCGTTCGAGGGGGGACCCCCATCCGACAATACGCACCCATAGCCCCCATCCGTCCCCCTGTGGGTATGGGCAAGGGAGGAAACACCACCCGGACCGGACAGTTTGCGTTCACTAAACGGCCCTGGGCGTTTACTGAGCAGCCCTGCCTTTCTCGATTCCTTCAGTGGGGGCGTTTAGTAAACGGTTTCGCGTGTCGGGGTGGTTACTATGGGGGTGGATTTTTTGCCCTCGAAGGAAGGAGCACTACGCCGCCGCCCGGGCCTTTGTCGCGCACCACGTAGGTGTTCCTGGTGGCACCGCGTACGGTGAGGAGACCGTCCCGGCGGAGGCACCGCTGGCCGACCGCTTCGACGCCGTCGCGACCTCCTTCGGGCCCGCGTACGCCGCCCTCACAGCGAGGATCAGGGAGCGCTCGCGGAAGTGCTGGTGGAGGCAGGGCTCCCACCGAGGACAGGAAGGCGAGGATCCGATCTTCCACCAGCTCATGGGGCACTACCTGTACCACTTCAGGAGGGGCAGCTACCACTGGTCTGTCCGAGACGGGCTCCCGCTGGGGCTGGACCCGGTGCACACGTGCCCGTCGCTGCTGGCCGTGCGCCACCTGAGCAACTTCAAGGACCGCGGGCCTCGCAGAAGGAGCCGGCCACTGGCGCCGTGGGAGGACCGGGTCGGGCGAAAGGTCAGGAAGCAATGCCAGGGAGCCCTGTTAGAACGATGGAGGGCTATGTAGCCCCAATGAAGGGGCCACGAAGCCGGATTAGGCCCAGGATCAATCCGGATCTTTAAGCGGGGTTAGGCCGGATTGGGCCAGTTTTCGACAGCAGATATACCAGCGCCGATTCTGGATTTGACCGTTCAGGAGTTGCATCCTACGGCAGGTTCGTGTCGTGCCGACCCCAGCGTTGGTTTTTGACACCGCAGGGATCGTTCAACCTTGAACGATCGGCCGCTGCCGCAACGTCCGATCGTTCAACATCGATCGATTCTGGGTCGCCGGCGGCGTTCAACCTTGAACGTCCGCGCTGGGGTCGCCGCTGGTCGACACGACGCAAACCTACCGTAAGAGAGGGGGGGTGGTCCAGAGAGCGGGCGGGCGAGGGGATATACCAGACCCCCAGGTCGGGGAGCAGTCCAGCGAATCCGGCGTAACATCTCGGCGGTCATCTGTGCGACGAAAGAAAAAATGTTCGTCTTCACCGACACTAACGCGTACTCCAGATTTCGTAATAAAAGGGAGGGGGTCTCATTTCGGGGGGGGGGGGGGGGTCTCTTCCAGGCTATCTTGGAGGGCCTGGGGGGGTCTGGGGACGATGTTTTGGAGGGTTCTCCAACGGGGGGGCGTCTGAAATGGCTCGTCTTGGAGGGTCCAGACCCCCTCCCTTTTATTACGAAATCTGGAGTAAGCTCCTCGCCTAAGGTCGCGCGTAAGCATCTTCGTTCCTAATGCAGGAAAGTGCCGCGCCTGCTAGGCTTTGCGACAGTGTCGTGGATAGCGGCCGCTCTGAGAGAGCCCCCCCCTGCGCACCCCCTGTGGTGTCCAGAAAGTGCCGCGCCTGCTAGGCTTTGCGACAGTGTCGTGGATAGCGGCCGCGCTGAGAGACCACCCCCTGCGCACCTACTATGGTGTCGAGAAAGTGCCACGCCTGCTATGCCCTGCGCCATGGCCCACGTGTGCGGCCGTATCGGGACGTGTGCCTCATGTGTGTGCCCAGTATGTACGCATACATGGTGTGTGTGTTGTGTGTGTGTCTGTGTGCGTGAGGAGAGGGAGAATGAGAGGGAGGCGGGTGGAAGACGCGGGTGCGACGCGGCAGAGAAGAAAACCATAACCCCACGAAACATGTGGGGAAAAATAGTCTGGGGGCGATGTTTGCCAGTATGTTTGAACATTTTTTGAGTATTTACAATTGTTCGTCCATTATCCCAGTGCGACCCTACCTAGGAATTGGAGCATTCAGGATAGCAACATCTACATCTACACCGACAGCTACATTTGAGAGAGCGTGATCCACCGCCGCTTTACTGTGGAAAATTGCCAACCTTTTCCTCCGGAACCCGGGGGTCGCCCCTCCCCCCCCCTCCGAAAATCCCCCCCCCCCCTGCTGGAACCCCTCCCTCCCCCCCCCCCCCCCTCTCCCCCGGCAAACCCCCCCCCCTCCCTAACCCTCCCCCCCCCCCCCCCCCCCCCTCCCGCTCGAAAACCGGGAGGGGTCACTACCGGTTCGAACCCCTCCCCCCCCCCCCCCCCTCCGGATCCGGAAAACCGGGGGGGGGTCACTACCGGTTCGAACCCCCCCCCCACCCCCCCCCCTACTCACCGCCAGCAAACGACTCCCGGTCCCCACCACCGTCCGCATCACATCCCCCACTGGTGTTCCCAGCACCACTGTCCTCACCACCGCTGTCCCCACTGGTTCCACCACCGCCCCTACTGTCCCCACCAGTGGCCCCACCACTGTCGCACTGTCCCCGCTGTCCCCAGAACTGTTCCCACCACGGTTCCACTCTCCCCACTGTCTCCACGGCCCCAACCACTGCCCGACTATCCCCACTGTCCCCACTGTCCCACTGACTCCTCCGCTGTCCCACTGAGCTGTCCCACTGTTCCCACCACTGTCCCCACTGTCCCCACCACTGTCCCCACTGTACCTTGTCCCATTGTCCCACCGCCGTCCTCGCCACCGCCTTCACCACTGTCCCCACCACCATTGTACCCTCCACTGTCCCACTGTTTCCACCTCATTCCCATTGTCCCCACACCACTGTCCCCACCACCACCGTCACCACCACTGTCCACTGTCCCCCCCTGTTCCCACCATTGTCCCCACCACTGTCCCCACCACTACCGTCCCCACCACTGTCCCACTGTCCCACTGTCCCCACCACTGTCCCGTCCCCTCACCACTGTCCCCACCACCCGTCCCCACCACTGTATCCCACCACCACGCTGTCCCCACCAACGCCGTCCCCACCACTGTCCGCACCCCCACTCGGTTTTCGAGGGGGGGGGGGGTTCGAACCGGTAGTGACCCCCCCCCCTTTTCATGATGAGCTGGGGGGGGGGGGGGGAGGGGTTCGAACCGGTAGTGACCCCCCCCGGTTTTCCGGAGGGGGGGGGGAGGGGTTCGAACCGGTAGTGACCCCCCCCGGTTTTCCGCCAGCAGCGGTAGAACACGCTCTTTCCTACATTTACATATACACCTGCATCTACATCTACATCAACATCAACAGCGAGACTCACATCTACATCTAAATCTACACCTACACCTACATCTACATCTACATATACATATACCTTTACATCTACACCATACTATGCTATGATATACAGAGCTATGTTATGATATGATTGATATGTTATGTTTGGCTATGCTATGTTATGCTGTGCTAATGCTACGCTGCGCTTTGCTGCGCCGCGCTAAACTAAGCTAAGGTAAGCTAAGCTAAGCTAGGCTAGGCTAAGCTAAGCTAATATGAGATCAGCCAAGCTATGCTAAGCTAAACTAAGCTAAGCTAAGCTAAGATGAGATAAGCTAAGCTACGCCTAGCTAAGCTAAGCTGGGTGATCCCAGGGGGCGCAACAGGGGGAACCGCGGGGCAGATACTGGGGGAACCGCCCGGGCCGGTTCCCACTGCCCGGCCCTTTAAGCCAAGAGAGTAAGAACCCTTCTAGGCAGAGCCTAGGTTGGGAAAAAGCCGCCTGCAGGAGGACACGCCCGACCTAATCTTAGCTGCCCTGATACGCCCGCGCTAAAGCGTAGCACGTAAAGCGTTCAGAACGTCCGTGTTCACGCGCTGCGTTTTGGCTCGGCACGTGTTGGTCCGCGTGTTGGGCGAACCTGTCGCGCCGAATCCGCGTCTTCCATCGGCGTGCTGAGCTGCTTGTCAACAAGCTTCACGCTGCGTGTTGCGCACTGGGGCAGCGAAGTTCTGGGCTGCATAAGCCCCACACGCCCGACGTCCTGATCTCTTGTTCGGTGCCCGGCCCTCGGAGAATTCCGACCCTCTGCCCGGGGCCGGTCGTGCCGCCCGGGCCGCTCTTCCGACGGTCCCCGGGGCCCCGCGAAGGCCCCCAGAGGCAGACGGAGGCCACAAGCATGCCGCCGCGAGTCCTTCACGCCGCGAGCGCGTCTGGGGTCCTGCCCTCGGACGCTCAGACCTGGCGCTGCCAACAAAGGTACAGCATCGCGAAGATATCACGGCCGGTGTTTCGTGGACCCCATCTCTCCGCGTCAGTTGCCGAGCCCGATCGGCATGTGAGGGTCCTGGTGCCCGAGACGAAGCGAAAACGCCCGTGGTGAAACAAATTGCAACGCCCAGATCTCAGGGTTCCGTCGGGAGTTTTTCCCTGCTGATGATGTTCCAACCTACTTTAGCCTTGGCCCCCAGAAAGAACTTTGAGCACCAGAAAAAAGTACCAGAACTCGAGGGTTTTCACGTGTCGGGCCCGGGGAGACACTCGCCCGACACTGTTTCGACATTCGTTCGACACTCTTTCGACACTTTTCCGGGTGCTCGAAATTATTCCTGGGAGGGGGTTACGACGGGAGCAACATAATTCCCGGCGCGAGCACGTCCGGGGTCCTGTCCTCGGAGCTCTTCGCCATGGGGCAAGCGGGTCCTTGAGGGAACCGGGTCTTGAGGTTTTCGCCGCGCTCGGGCCTTTCTGCGCCCTTCCGCAGGCCCCCGGGACTGTCAGAAAACGGCTCCGGATGAAGACCTCGCCCTGGGGGGAGATCTTGGCTGGACGGGGCTAGGTCAAGTCAAGTCACCCCGCTCGCACGAGGGCGGGCCCATATAGGGCGCGAGGGAAAAAATCAAATGCCAGTCACTATTCAGGCCTGGTGCGCAAAGGAAGCATCGCGCCTGCTCACGTCGACGTGCAGAAGTCCAGGAAATCTTCTGTCATTTCCACCCATGCTGAGTAATCTTGTGCAGCTTCTTGCCACGGTCCGATGTGGTTCGCCCGGCAGAACGAGGATAGCTTCGCGTCCCATGACAGAAGAGGACGACCCTGTGAGCGTGATCCCGACGGCGTCCAATGCAAGGCTCTCTGCACCCACCGATCAGGAGGTAAACCCGCAACGTATGCTGCCAGATCCCAATACTTTTTCATGGACTCTCTCGACCATGTGCGAAGACGATGTTCCGCCAATGCTTGGCTGAGCTTTTCGTGCCATAAGTGCAGAGTCGCATGCCACGGTTGGGACCAATCCACGCCTGCAGGCGGGCCAACGACCTGCCGCATCAGACGCCGGAATGCAACGTCTACCCCGTGCAGTGAATCGCTGTACGGCTTCCAGACACCAGCTCCGAAACACGCCACTGACGTCACGACGCGGTTGAAAACCTCAAGCTGGGCAGCGAGAGAAACATTCCGGTCGCATAGAATGTCCCTGTTTGCAAAGAAAGCTTTGCTTGCGGATGTCAGATCATACTCCACGTCCAAATTGTGCGTTCCAGAACCACCCACGGACAGCATGCATCCCAACCACTTGTGGGCGGTACTCCGGGGGAGGACTTGGATTGCTGCGCCGGCCCGCGTGGTAATTTCTTGTGGAGGTTGCGCCTCTGTTGTCATCACCACCGTCTTGGCCGCATTCAGAACCAACCCAACTTTGGCCAATTCGTCGACCAGTGCGTCCAGCTGCAATTTGGCTTCGCCCGCTGATTTGGCAAACAATAAGATGTCATCGGCAAAGCCTAAGTCGATGAGCGGCCTCAAACCGTCGCCCAAATCAAATCCAAGATGCGAAATGCGAGCTCTCCATGCACGCATGGCCCACTCCAAGACAGCTGTGAAAAGAACCGGGCTGAGTACGCACCCTTGGCGAACGCCAGCAATGATCGGAAATGCCTGGCTTCTGGCCCAATCGCCCAAGACTTGCCCTTCCTGGTCACGGTACAGACGGTGCATTGTCCAAATCAGATGGTCGCTGACGCCGAGCTGCCGCAGAGCCTCCCACAACGCAGCCCAAGATACTCGGTCGAACGCTTTTGATAAGTCCAAACTCACGATCCAGAGCGGAACATTCGCCGCCAAAGTCTTCTCAATAACAAGAGTTGTTGTCAGAAGATGCTCCTCCAGACGCCTATTAGATCTGAAGCCGTGCTGCTCCTCTGGTTGTTGCGACTCTAGCACGTGCTCGACGCGCCCCAGCAACATGTATGCAAACAACTTGTAGAGAAGACGGATGCTCGCTATAGGTCGAAAATCTCCGACTGCCTTGGCGTGCGTCTTCTTTGCCAACATGATGAAGAACGTCTTGCGCCATGATTCCGGAACGTCCCCGCCAGCAAGCACAGCATTGTACAGCGTAAGTAATATCTCCTTCAGTTCAACATTCGAGTGCTTCAACATTTCCGCCACTAGGCCACGTTCGTCCAGGGCCTTGTTTGATCCCAAACGCCGGATGCCCCTGTCAATCTCCTGCATGGTGAACGGCGCCTCTGTGAGGGAAGGCGGCGGCACGTCCTCCGCTGCCCCGCCGAAGATGTCGCGCAACGTGTCGGCAAAATCGTCTGGCGGTGGCTGCTGCGACGTCTTCTTACCCGAAATGCTGTGGGAGAGCCTTTTCAACCCCCGCCAACACGATGTATTGGACAAGTATCGTTGCAACCGCGCCGTCTTCCAGGCCCTTGTCTCTCTGCGGTGCATCTGGCGGATTTGCAACGACAACTGCCTTCTGGCGGATTGGTCAACCTCCTGTCGCCTCCTGGCCCGCAACATATGTAGGGCACTTGATGGGGCAAACTTGTGTTGGACGGTGCGCTTCCTGCTCCTGCAATGACCGGCGGCTCGTTGCAATGCGTCTTCGATGTCCTCGAAAGTAGCGCCCGCAGGAGTAGATTGGAAGAGCACTTCATGGAAAGACGCTGCAACGCCAGACGAATCCAAGCTAGGCTGCCAGCCCTTGAACTTTCGCTGCCGTTCAGGCCGCTGTCGCTTCTGAGTTAAATACCTGCACCGGCTATGGACGCACCTGTGGTCGAGGCCAACAGCCAAAGCATTGTCGCACCAACTGTGGACAAACTCGAAAGACACATCGGCGCACAGAAAATCGATCTGGACGCGTGACCCGTCAAAAGCCCGCAAGCAAGTCCACGAATCAGGGGCATGGCGCGCATCTGGCTGGCGGCTCAAAACTTGAAGCCCGTGTTCCGAGAGCCATCGAACAAGCGTCTGCCCACGAGCGTTGCGTACTCCACACCCACATGGTCCCAGCATGTCAGCGTCATCCCCCTTCTGGAGCTCACCGATTGAAGCGTTGAAATCACCACCAATGATTGGGGCCATACCCTGGCGCTTCCCATCTTCAAGTAGAAGGGACAACAGCATGTACACTTCCTCAGCCGCCTCAGGCGTGTCCCAAGACGTTGGGAAATAGACACCTATTGCTCGAAATTGCGTAGCACCATGCCGAAAATCCAATGCACAAGCCCTCTCTGAGACTGAGTGGAATCGAACCCCACTCAGCTGCCTGAGAAAATCGCGTGATAAGCCTATGCCCACACCACGGTGTTTCGATCCACCGCTGAAGTAAAGCATGTCACCACGAGGAGTCTCGATGATGTCCTCGCGCTCCTCCCGCCACGTCTCCGTCAAGAAAACGATATCGTAAGTAGACCGGCCGAGCTCCAACAAGAAGTCGTCAAACCGATTGCTGTCACGTAAATGTTGTACGTTTTTTGTGATAAGCTGCATGCTCACGAATTCTGTAGCCGCCTCGGCTGGCAAACGGCCCGCCGATCTTTGACCTTGCTCCGGTCTTGGCTGTTGACCAGAAGCCCTTCACAGGAACAGCTCGTCCGCGAACTCGTTCACAGCCTCCGTGACCGAGTCGTCTACCTCGAACCCCTCGTCCACCCACTGCGGCGACTCGTTCTCCGGCACGTTCGCCACGAGGTACAAGCGCCGGTTGGACCGGACATGCACCTTAAACGTCTTGTAATTCGCCACGATGTGTTTGGACCCAACCCCTTGCAATTCAATCAAAAATTGTTTGATTTTGCTTACAAGTTTCGTCCTCTTCCTCTCCTCCGGAGTGCGGTTCTCAGAAGCCCACAAACCTGCCTCCTTGAACTTACGATTGCGCTTCTGTGTCTTCAGGAACTTCATGGTCTTCGCGATGTCGGAGAAGCGGGCAAACACGACAGAGGGTTTCTCGCTGAAGGACCAAACCTCCTGAAACCCGTCAGTTTCATCCAGTGCGTCTCGGACAAGCTGCTCTGCTTCATCAGCCCCCATTTCATCAAACCCTCCAGTGAGGCCAACAACAGCCACATTCTTGTCGATGTCCCTGGTCTCAGTGTTCATGTGTTGGGAGTTCTGGAGCTTCTCCTCCAGGGCCGTGACTCGTTTCTCCAATTCCTTGCGTGCATCTCGTTCCTGTTGCAACTCCTTCTTCATCTCAGTCATCGCTTGGGCGTTCGACGCTTGGATTTCGGATATGCCGAGTTTGATCTCGTCCCTCATCATGTGCCTGAGTAGGTCAACTGTGGCAGGGCTCATTTCGACTTTCTCCACAGTTACCTCGGTCGCTGGCGCCGAAACCATAGAAGACACAGAAATCCCAGCGTTCACGCGCTTTGAACGTGCCGCTGCATCCCGATCCGGTGTCCCAAGCTGCGCCTTCCTCTTCGGAGTCGTCAAAGGCGACGTTGGATCTTCCATTTGGGTGTCTTTGATGGTCAAAAACCCTTTCTGAAAGTCCGATGTCAGGTCCGCCCATTTTGCACCGTACTGAGTCGCTTCACCAATAGTGTTGGCGACCTTGTATGTGTCGTAACGTTCATGTGGCTTTGATCCTGGACGCCTCGGATTTTCTTCTTTGAATTCGATCTCAGTGTCATTCTGCTTCAGCTTCGAAATCTGCTCGGCGGACAGCGGCATAGTCTCCATGTAAACGACACCCCCAACAGAACGAGTGAATCAACGAATGAGTCACAGAAGCAAAACGTGGAAGGTACGTCAGGCGGGTATGCAACCCTGAGGGGGGTATGCAACCTTGAGGCGGGTGTGCAACCTTGAGGCTGAACCTTGAGCCAGGACGAGGCTAGGACGAGGGTAAATCCGGACGAGGGCAAATCTGTTCCGGAGCGTTCCGGAACGCTTTGCAGAGTGTGTCGGAACGCTTTGAGAGAAGCCGCGGCGCCCGAGGCATCCTTCAGAGCTGCCGGACCTCAGAGGTTCTCGATCGATCCCTCACCCGACTTTATCCTCAGCCTGGCTTCGTCTTACCTGGGGTCCAGGACCCGTTCCCCCCATGCTACGGTGAAGGAGTCATAGCAAGGACGGGTAGTCTTCCCAAGGGCACCCCTGCGTCCCTAGATTTGTTCGGCAGTGCGTCGCTAGGAAAAGCTTCCACTGGGGCGACCAAGGACCGTCCGAGGGCCTTGCGTCCTTACAGCCTCCTCCTCCTCCTCCGCCTCCTACCCCTCCGCCTCCGCCTCCTACCCCTCCTCCTCATCCTCCTCCTCCTCCTCCTCCTCCTCCTCGCCCTTCCCCTCCTCTTCCTCCTCCTCCTCTTCCTCCTCCTCTTCCTCCTCGTCCTCCTCCTCCTCCTCCGCCTCCTACCTCTCCTCCTCCGCCGCCGCCTCCTACCCCTCCTCCTCCTCCTCCTCCTCCTCCTCCTCCTCCTCCTCCTCCTCCGCCTCCTCCTCCGCCGCCTCCGCCTTCGCCGCCTCCGCCTCTGCCTCCGCCTCCGCCTCTGACTGTAAGACCCGGGCCCCGCCCGTCCCCGAGGAGCGCGCGTGGGCCGAGGGCTACCGCGCCGAGGCTCGCGCCGCCGTGTGGGCCGGCCTCTGCGCCGCGGCCAGCGCGCTGCGGCAGGCCCCGGGCGCCGAGGTGCGCGCCGTCGTCGTCGTCGTCGTCGTCGTCGTCGTCGTCGTCGTCGTCGTCGTCGTCGTCGTCGTCGTCGTCGTCGTCGTCGTCGTGGGCGTCGTCGTGGGCGTCGTCGTGGGCGTCGTCGTCGTCGTCGGCGTCGTCGGCGTCGTCGGCGTCGTCGTCGTCGTGGGCGTCGTCGTGGTCGCCGTCGTCGTCGGCGGCGTCGGCGGCGTCGGCGGCGGCGGCGTCGGCGTCGGCGTCGTAGTCGGCCCGGGCGAGGAGGACGCCCACGGGTCGGGCGTGGCTGGCCGTGCAGACGACGAGGTCGAGGAGCTCGTCCAGGCCTGCAACTCGCGCGGCACGATGGTGATGCCCCTCCTCCGCCGCCGCCTCCTCCTCCTCCTCCTTCTCCTCCGCCTCCTCCTCCTCCTCCTGCTTCTCCTCCTCCTCCTCCCTTCTCCTCCTCCGCCGCCGCCTCCTCCTCCGCCGCCGCTGCCGCTGTTCCGCCCACTCCCACTCCTCCTCCGCCTCGGCCTCCGCCCACGTGCGCGCCATTCCAGCCGTGCCGCCCGAGGATGGCAGGGCGCGCCCTGCGGCTCACCGAGACGCTGTCGCTGGTTCCTACGCACTGGGCTCCGTCCACTCGTTCTGCGGCAGCACTGGACGAGATTTTCGTAGGCCAGCTGGGATGGGTCCTGGCGCGGACTTGTCAACAGATCCAGGTGGAAGGAAAAGCCGAGGAAGTTTTCTTGAGCGGCATCTCCGACCACGTCCCGCTCAGGTTGCACTGGGCGGGACGCCAGGCTTAGGATAACTGCGATCGCCCCGCGCCAATTTCGAAGGCGATCGCTTCCCATCCGAAATTCGAGGAGCATGCCCAGCGCTGGTTGGATCTCGTTCCCCCCGAGGACCTCTCGCCGCCCGAGCAGGTCTTCCATGCCTCGCGGATCCTTCAGGAGGCATGGAGTGACACAAGGGACTGCATCCTTCTCCGCGAGCTTGGCACGAAGCTCTCGGCGACCATGCTCTGAAGGCAGGCTGCTCGGCTTGGCAATATCTTCTTTGAGTGATGGCACTGTCCAAATCGGCTTCGGCGGCGAACATCAATCAGGAACAACATCGAGACAACCCTTTCGGTCCGTGGTGACCAGGGCCAGGGCATACAGGACTCGCACGGTATGGTTGTGTGCCACAAACGTAGACCTGCACTTGAAGCCCGGCGCATGCCGTAGCCCCAGCAGGGCGAGGGCATTGAGCTCCACGTAGGTAGGTCGAGGTGCCAGATCACACTTGCATAGCTGTGCCATTTGTGCAGCCACCGTAGGAAAGTAGCGTGTCAGCCTGACTATCTTCGCGTCGCTCGGGCTTTCCCGGGGGGTCACCAATGGGGGGCCAGTCGCTATAGTAAAGTCGATTACCGATTCCACCCGCGTGACGGACAGAGGGGTTCGAGCAGTATTATTTGCTTCCCATTGTAGCTGTGAAAAGTACCATACCACGGCTGGAAAAAAGCGTCTGTTGGTAGTACCACTTTGCCATTGGGGTTGACTCGGGCAAGATCGGGGCGAAATTCCAGTCGGTAAGGTTGGGCGTGATAGGGCCCCAGTGGTATCCATGGGAAGCCTGCTTGGGAGACCAGTTCGTCGGGTTGGTAGTTGCTCGATCCAGGACAAGCTCGCCGTTGGAGCTGCTGCTCGGGTTCGGACGACTCGATGGCGTAGCAGTCGCGGTGCTTGTCGCTGATGAGGTTGCAGTCGGTGTTGTCATTGGTGATGCCCTCTTTGTTTTGCCATGCATGCGTCGGGGGGCTCCTGGCGAAAGTGGTGGAAGAGGTGCAGGTGGTGGGCTCGGTTGGTCGTGGTCGGGCTCGCCCAAGCCTGAGTGCGCCCATGGGTGTGCGTCTTCGTCTTCTCCAGGGAATGCAGGGAGTTTGCCGTCAAGTTCTGCTTGCTCCATTGCACGAGCTTGTCCGCACCTGGCCCTGTGTGCGTCGCGGCCCAGCTCCGTTAGCGTCTTGGCACGTCTCTCGAGGATGACCGTGGCGGTGCGTTTGAGCAAGTACCGCAATTGTTGATATCGTAAGTGTTGTTGCCGCCGTGCTGGTGGGAGGCCGCGTGAACGTGCAGCTCGGACTGCGCCTTTGTCCGCAGCCTGGCTGAGCTCCCAGAGGGTGCGCTCTTCGGCTGGGACGTCCCGCTCACTGCGGTGTGCTTCTATCTTCAGCACACGAAACTGATCACGGCCTTTAGTTTCCAATCCCGTCTCAATTGCTTCCCAGAGATCGACATGCTGCTTGGCGGTCAGGTTCTCGCCGCGGGGTAAGGCCGTGAATGTCCGTGCACAGTGAGCGCCGTTGGTCGGGTAGATTTGGGGGCGCCGCGACCATGCGACGAAGTGCCTCGATGCTGATACGTAGGCGCGCTGAGCGCCTTGGGCCATTCCTTTGAGCGGCGCCTCGACGTTGCAGGGATGTCCATTGCCATAATGAAGGGCGTAACCAGGTCTTCGAACCCGCAGGCCCGATGCTTGCCCAGGGCAGGACACATCTCCTGCAACCGCAGCATATCCGTCGACCTTGGTCAGCACTGTGCCCCCTTCGACTCCCGCCTCGTAGCTCCCGTCGCCGCGATGGGGTGGAGGTTGGAGCGGCAGCCCATCGGGTAAGAGTGGGCAAGCAAACTCATCATAGTCTGATCGGTCAGGCATATGCCCGCAACGCAGTAGACACGCTGGCAGGGCATGGAGCTCCCCCCGCGTGCAGCTGGACAGTAGCGCTGCTCTATGAGGTGCCCAGTTCGGGCAGCCCAGAAGAGAATGCGGCTTCGTCTCGTCGGTGTCAAAACAGAGAGGGCACTTCTTGTGGCTGGCGTTCTTGGCGATGTGGTGCAGACGGTGCCCCGTGATAGTCGCCCCTTGAAGGCAGGCTCTGAGGAACGGCACCTGCTGTGCAGTCAGTTTTGGCACTGGTAGGTCGGAGCTGGTAGGTCGGAGGCTCCGAGGAGGAGAGGTGGTTGACCCTCGGGCTCATCATCCACATCCTCGTCGTCAGGCTTCGAACTCCTCTCGGCCTTCCTCGGCAGGGCGGTGGCGATGTGATCTGTAATGCAGACCCATGTTCCCATTGCTACCTCATTTCATGTCTTTCCGCCCCATGAGTTGAAGGTTTTTCGCCAAACAAACCGCTTCGGATCTGCTCGCAATGTGTGGAGCCACCAGCCCTGTGGGTGCTTCGTGAGATATATGTGCTGGCGATTCGCCCTCTGAAAATATTCAAAGGTAGGCCGTTCCCAATTTTGATATTTCAATGCAGCTCGTAGTCGGTTGACGAGGTCTGTGTCACTGTCCTTGACAGTAGTAGTGACCAAACATGTCTTTGCTCGTGGAAGCAGTCGTGGCCAAGTCGGACTGTTGAAGAGTCTGCGCGCGATGGGCAACGGCGGAGCTGTGGCGATCTGCAGCGGATCGATCAAATGTCCTCGCATGACTAATGGTAGTGCGATCGCATGTGATCTGAAGGCTCAGCCCCTGTGCCACGGGGACTTGATGACCGCCGACCTGAAATTCAGGCGGTTGTTCTCCGGGAGACGTCGAAACTCAAGGCCACGAGCAAGTCGAGGTAGAGCCGCCGTCGCGAGCAAACGTTTGTTCGCCTCGAAGTCCAAGCGGCGCGCCGCCTGCACGCTGTGTGACACGATAGGCTGAGGTGCAACGCCGTCTCCTATCTTCTTGCGGGCGCATGCCGAAAGTACATATCTCCCCTCCCACCAGAACCATATTCCGTACCACTTGGACGTTCTCGTGCCCACTGTCTGTTAGAGCAGCCCTCAGCACGGTCTCGGCCTTCAGGGATGTCGCGAAGTGCTTCGTTTGGGGGAAGTTGGTTTGTGCGCCTGCATGCTCGTCAAACTCCAGGGACGCGGTGGTCGCCCTCGCCGTTCGGATCGCATGGCGAGGCCCTCCTGCGCGACAACTGCCGCCATCTATGAAGGAGGTAACTTTCACCTCCGCCTCCTTCTCCAGGGTGCCGACGCATGTGGACATCAGCGCGAGGGCCTGCTGGAGGGACCAGGGGCCCCCTTGGACAACGCCGTTGCTGCGCTTCGTCTCCGGGCCGACAGCGCGAGACACTTTCCAGCGTGCTCGGAGATCCTGGTGCAAGATCTCGGAGGCCAGAGCTCTCATAAGTTGATTTCCAATCTCGCGCTCCAGTAGATCAAAGAACTTTCGCCGATCCGCTGAGCGCCCCGACAGCGGCGCGTTCGCGACGTGAGCACACTCCATGGCAAGCCCCCCACGATACTGCTTGATAATGATGCCCTCGCCTCTCCCCGATCGCACCGCTACGCGTCCACGATTCTCTCCACGTCGTCATCTGGTGGAAGCCGTCGCCTGTCAAGGCGGTGTATATCGGGGACAAAGACCGTGTTCGGGCGAGTCAATTCTATTGTTGCTGTCCATACATTGTCGGGCTCCACGTCGGCCGCCAAGTCGGCCTCCTGGCCCCACTGAGGTAAGCATGAAGTGACGCCGATCGACATCGCTCGTGGACAGCGGAGCCAAGCATCTTCGGCTCCTTTGCATAGCATGGCGAGTAGATCGCAGATACATATCGGTAGCAGGCGGAGCTCGCCCACTCTCCAACCGTCTGCTGCAGCTGCTCGGTGGGCCTGCATCTTGCTTTTGGAGAAGGTATATTGTGGTATCTGTGAGTTCGCAATGATGATGTTCAATATACTTGCCAAGCCTCCTCTCGGAAGCACCCCAGGATTTGAGTTCGGCTTCGTGGAAGATCTGGCCCCAAAATAAACGAACCTGCTTCAGAATATCACTGCGCTTCGCACAGATACGACTGGGATCCTCTTAACCCCTGACGGCGTGGATATTATGGCATTGCTTCTGCTTGATCCAAGCGTATACTTCTCGGCTCCCTGAGAATCTGAGGGACTCGCGTAACTTCTTCCTCCAATTTGTCGATCCTTGCAAGCTTCTTTTGCTTGGCGTGCTTGGCTTCCAGAGCAATAGTCCAGATGCCCATGGTCTCCAGCGTGGGCATGCCATGAGGAAGTTCGCTGTAGGGAAGATGTAGTTCGCGTTGCAGTTGTTTCCGATGGACACGCCACAGGTGCAGCGACTTCAGCTTACTTTGTAAATCCTTCTGCCCACGATGAAGTTGGAGGCTGGGCTCGGCTAGGCGGCTGATGATGTTCTCGATGCGTCTCAATGTCATCGATGTTGGGCCCTCTTTCAACTTATCTTTCCCAGCAGGTGGAGCAGCAGCTTCCCATTGTACTATGTATGGTCCCTGACTGCGGCCATGGTATGCTGCGCCAGATTCGAGACCGGCATGTCCCAGCCGCCTCTCAAGG